CACCTTACCTGAGACATGTGTGGAAGTAGACAGCAATTACAGAAACTTCTTCAGCTGTGTCATAATATTGGCCTTGTTTCCTAATGAAAGCTATTTTGTGATAAAATATTTTTTATTATCTGTTAATATATTTCAGGAGAGGTTTGTTTGTTTTGTACGAGTTTCTGAAACCCAAATACTGTCTTATGAAGCCATCGAACATTGTGAGATGTAAAGTTTTAGTAGTGCATGTATAGTGTTTTGTGTTCAAAGGTTCAATACAATGTGTTTAGTTTTATTTTGTTGATTCATATTAATGTAATTTTTAAAATTGTTAGCTTGACTCTAAAAACATAAGTTCAATATTAAAACCATAAAATTATTTTAAAGATCAAATTGATTATTGTTATAATTATCATTCAATAAGCCAGTAATTAGGCATAAGATTCAAGTATTTTCATTTTGAACTATGTTATTTAAGGCTATTTTTTGTTGCTTTCTATGAAAAAAGTTGTATTAATTTTAGTCCATTTTAATAGTAGTTATATATTTCATATTAAACCATGTTTTTTTAGCAGTCTATGTTCACTATTAAGGTGCTGTTTGTATCAGGCCAGTAGAACTCGTTACATTTGTCTTTTAAGCTCACTCTACAGATCCCAGGTGCTTATAACTTATCAGTAGACTTGCCTGTAGTAATTGGAACAGTTCCATTACGCACTCGTCCATCAAATTATACGACACTGTTTTCCAATGTGGAGGACCTCTCTGTACCAAATGAGTCAGTGTTGGCATATTATCCACCTGCTCCTCCTTACAGTGAAGTGGAAATATCCTCCATTCCCGAGGAGCGTAAGTAGATGTTAAAATGGCACAGTATGACACTCAATATTGACACAGATTTATAGGACATCCATGAATACATGTGTTCCTTGACTAATCTCAATCCTACCCCCCACCCCAAAATTAAGAAAAAGAAAATGCTATGATCAGATACTGAGCTACTGTGTGTGTAAGGATTTCTCTTCTGAAGTACATGATCTGAAAGTAATGACATTTTAAATTACAGAAACCAATCAGTATTGAATGACTTGTATTAAATGAAGTGATTATTACTTATATGATGATTTAAAACAAATTACAAAAGTTTCATGCAAGTTACTTGAAATATGAATAAGTGGATTAAAAATTCAATTACTATACATAATGGACTATCCTACTTTTGTTGACATCACTGTCAGTTACAACAGCTGTCAGTAATGGGTATTATGACAGGAACTACTATTTGTACATCGAATAAATGCACATAAGTACCGTGTTTTGTGCTGCCTACAAGTTACGCTTTGGACGTTCAATCTTGTATTGTTGAATATATTTCATTCACATATATTGATGATTCTGTATTGTGAAAAGTTTGAAATATGCTTGGTATTTACTGTTTTATTGTATAATCAATAAATAAAATTAGTAAAACACTTCACCAGATAATTTTTGCCATGATTAGTATGGTAAATGATCAAATTTTGCTTCTATCAGTATCTGCCACAGGTGGTCACTGATTCAGTATCATGAACTAGTGTCTGTATGTTGGTTTATGTAAGGATTGAATCAGATTTTCATCAAAAATAGAAGTCTTAAGTATGTGTTGTTTGTATAGAGAAGTCTACAGATAAAATATACAGTTATAAAACCAAAAAAAAATTTCTGATGTCCAATAAGAGGTTCTATAGATTATGCAAAAGAACTTTAAAATACAAGTAAGTTATTCCTGTCATGAAATTCATGTTTCATGCAAATACTTTATTTAAAAAAATATTTTTTTCTGTACAACATACTTTTCATATTTACTAAAAGACTACTAATTTTTGTGAACATGCAGTAAATTCAGAGTTATTATAATTGTTAATTCTCCAATGTGAGCTCTGTGGTTCCAAGTCTCCTGTCTCTTATTAAAATAACTAACACAATATTTTTAAAGAATTGTAAAATTGGTAAACCTAATTAATGGAATGCCAAAACATCCTTCTTTATATTGTATGTTTGTTTAACACCTAGCACTCAGAAGACAAACCACAAAAATTGGTGTTAAAGTTATGTGTGATGGTGTCTGTTGTTACTGCTGATAATGTTGGGGATCACTGGGCTAATTTTATATTTTCACTAGCTGACATTGATTGTTGGAAAGGGTTCAGAGGAGGGCTACAAGGATAACACTTGGGAATGAATGGTTGTCTTACGAGGAGATATTAAGATTCTGAAAAAGAAAATTAAGAGGGGATCTGATTGAGGTTTTTAAGATTGTTAAGGAAATTGATAGTGTTGATGCATCGTCTTTTTTCATACTAAACAGTGAGAATAGTAGGACTAGTGGACACAATTATAAATTTTGGCAGGGTAGGAAGTCATCTTCAGCTAAAGCAGTTTTATTTTTCTACCAGGTTGGTTCGCCTTTGGAATGGGTTGCCTTCAGATGTTGTGGAGGTAGTAAATTTAAGGGAAAGCTTGATAAATATATGAATGATAAGGGCTGGCTTTGAGGATTTTAGTTTAGTTTAGTGGATGGGACAGCCTAGATGGACTGATAGGTCCCTCATTTTCCCTAAATATTATGTCATTATAGCAATATTTTCACCTTTGTAGCTCCTCCTACGTATGCCGAGTGTGTAGAAGGTTCAGTTGACATAACAGATGATGATGACGATGGGGACATTATGGGAGAAACTCGCTTTACGCCAATGTATGCTTATGTCCATGATTACCAGTACCAACCTCCTCCTGCATATTCTGAGGTAAATTGTTGTTCACAACATATTTTTTTTAATGTACTTTAGTTGTTAACTTAGAATTGCTACAGAAGTATATTAATAAATTGGATATACTTGTATGAATTATCATTTGCATTTGTACAAGATAAAACATTCATATTACATTCTATAACTAATTCTTAGTTATTGTGCACCACATTTGTAAGTTATAATTAAGGTGGTAATGTTTTACTATTATCATTAATTTGTGGTAAAAATTACCTGTCTTTGATGGATGAATGTATTTGAATACTGTCTTATGCAGTGAAAGTGATTTTAATGTACAGGTGGACCCTCACCCAGCTCCAGTTGCTGAAGGAGGAAGTGGACAAGGATGAATGAAGCAAAGATATGATCCAGTTTGATGAGTTAGTTTTCAATATGCCTCTTCAAGAGTGTCTTATAAAGAAGAGAAAAAGTTGGTACTTCTGATTATTGCTGTGTGTCTCGAATAGGCTGAATGTACAGCCCTGGTAACCAGCTTCTTATTGGTGTGGGTGTCTACAGTATGATGAACTTTCATTAGTTTGTTCACTGTTTCAAGCCACTTCTCTGTTCCATTTAGATGTTCTTTTAAATATGGCAGTGTAGTTAATGTTGAGTGAAATCTTTTTTTCTTTGAGCTGAAGTCATACAAGTAATTGGTCTTGTAACTTACTGGTATAAAAAAAACAAAAAAAAACTGTAGAGTACACAGTGGTGTGAAATCAGATTAGTACAGATAAACCAACATGCTGATCTTAAATCTATTGAGTAAATACAGTGCTATAAAATCAGCTTTCTAACTTGAAATCCGTTTATTAAATAGTCTTGTGAAATTATCATAAATCAGCACAATCTTTAATATACCTAAGAACATTGCCATGAAATAAAATAAATAGAAAGAGAATATGTTTAGTAATGTGTGTTATACTTTAAAAACGTGTTTATCAGAATGTATATGCAAGTAGCTTTATATTTTTGGATGCTTCAACTGAGATATTCCAGGTGTTCTATTTTGAAATCTTGCAAATTATGCTGTAAAATTATTTTTTAGATTTTTACTTATCAAAGAAGTAACCAGTAATATTAATCTTTGGCAAGTTTCTTAGACATACAAATCAACTGTAGTTTTTATCCTTTTAAATATATCTATAAGCAGCAAAGCAAGATATACTAACAACAGGTTTGTTCTTTCACCTGCTTCTTGATGATATTTTTCATCACTTTACTGTTTATTTACCACATAATCTTGTTGAACACTGTTTTCAACTATAGAACTGCTCTACAGTAGCTTTTTTTTTTACCATGTTCAGTTGCAAGTCAGTGGCAGTGTGACTGAACTCCTGTTTAATGTGTTAACAATATTCTTTACTGGCAAGAAACATTATACATGTCTCTAAGTGATATTTTACATAGTAGTTTTATAATTAGCTATTTGCTAGTTCTACAAGTTTCTAGTCATGAAAGTCAAAATATTGGATTTCTCTAGTCGTAATAATTATCACTACATAAATTCAGACTATTTTCAACAAAACACATACTCCATGAGGTACTCGTTTCTTCTTTACTGTAATATAGTTTTAGCTAAAGTGTTACATCTGGGAAAAATATAGCTTTGAGTATTAATGTTGTCATTTTATTGTGGTTAAGAACCGGCTCATTTTATATTCTGTTATTTAAAAAAAGAACGTATCAGTATTTTGTTTTTCAGAAATAAGATTTAATTACCTGCTCATGGAGGATCTTACATATGCAGTGTAGCAGATCTTCATTCCACTATAATTGGACCATCAAAATCATTGTACCAGCTTTAAGATTGATCAGCTGATTACCAAAATTGATCCAAGATCTTGCTTAGCAAGTTCTACTTGTTCGTAGACGTGAAAGTAAAGAAAATATAAATTTAATTTAATGTTTGCATTGTGTTTCTTCTGTATCTGTTACTGTATTGTAGGTAGTACAAGTTTTTGTGTAGCGGTGTATCAGCTGTAGCCGAAGTGGTGGGTTCAGCTGCTTCAACATTTGATTCAAATTTTTCACCTTCAAAAAAATTCTCAATTTAGTCTCCAAGTTTTGTAATTCATCTAAAAGTTGAATCTAATTTGAGTCAGTATTTCAGGAATCGGTCTCAGATGCTTAGTTATTTCTCTTGCCCTCCCACCCCACCCCCAGTTTTTGTGAACTGGTGCCACTGTCCAGCTGATGTGAAATGCTATGATATATCATTGTATTTTTTTAAACAATGAATTTTAGTAGTAAATTATGATGGTTAATTTAATGTTGTGTATTAGTACCATGAGTTGTTTGGCAACATTTGGTGATGCCATAGAGCTGGCTCCGTGGTCAAACATTTTAGAATACGGTTGTGAAGTGTTTGTGCATTCATTGTGTTAGAATATAAAGAACTAATTATAATTAAGTTTATCATGGTTTTATTATATAGGGAAAATCAATATTAAACTTGTCAATTTGTTATATTTACATTTGCCGACATGGTTCAAATGATCTTATTTTAATAATTGTCAGACAGAAGAATGAACCACTTATGGATGGGTTGTAGATTTTTGTGAAAGGCTGAGAGTGTAATTTTTGTTATTAGTTGAAAAAAGTACATATAATAATAATAATAATGCATGGCTTTTAACTAATGTGTAATTCATAAATCGAACCTAAGTCAAGTAATGGGCATCAACAAAACTAATAGACATAACAAGATCTTCAGTATTGAATATGTCCAAGTTTATTTTCCACACTCATGCCGTATATAATAGTTGTTCAGATGAATCAACAATTAATTGGTAGTTGCCAGTGTTGAACCAATTCATACTGATAATCAGCATCAGTTACTATGGAAACAGTTAGAGGTCAGAAAATTGAGCTTTGTTTTTGATTTTTTTTATCAACAAAAATTAACTATAAAATAAAGTTCAATTTAGCCCCCTTGGTTTGTTTTTTTGGGAAATGAGCTCAAAAAAAAAAAGGCAGAGTTTCTAATTTACTTTTTCATAGACTTTTATAATACTTGATAACATTCAAATAATTCAAAATACAGTAAGAAATGGTTTGCCCAAATCACAGTAGGGGTTAAGCATCAGTTGTAACTGTCTGCTACAGTACACATTAGTTATTGATCAAGTTTTACATTTTTAATTACTTGTTGTTCTAATGAGGTGAAGTTTATGTTCCTTGTAGAACTTGATTGTCATGGTTCTCTAACAATGAATTTATGAAAGAGGAAATTTGACTTTTGAGGCAGGCCAAAGAAAGTGTTTTACATCTGTGGATAATTTATTTTAAGTAACATCACCTTCCGATACTTAAAAAAATAAAAGTGGACTGTGTGAAAAATATAACATTGCCCTATATATAATTTAATTTGCAAGGTAAACGTTCGATCAACTCAGAAATTTCTTATGGGAGTATTCTAGCTGCAGAGAGCATCAATTATTTAAGGATAAGACTTTAATCAATAATTAGCTAAATTGCTAATCACTGCATCTCTTCCATATATGGTTTAGCAGAGCTCCTTTTCATTTCTCACAAAAAATAGTTTATATTTGCCCTATATAGCTTATACTTCCAGGAATAATTTATACACGTGATACGTTAATTGATCTTATTTAATAATTGTGTAGTACAACTTATCTGCTTAAGGGGGGAATAAAATATTAAGAAAATGTTATTAATAATTTACTTTTGTCAGTTTACCAATTTGCTTCACAATTCTGTAACATATGCACACAAAGGAATGTCTAAAATTGTTATTCATTAGTTTTGATAAATCTAGAGCAGCTTTATGAGCTGGTTTTAAAGCACACTGACTGTTCTGGTTACTCAGTATTCTAATTATTTTGTATATTTAATTGATTTTACATGATGATCTTTATTTATATATATATATTAAGAATCACAATTTTTAACCTACCAGTTTTGACAAAATGATTTTAAGAAAAAATAGCTGAATAATTGTCCCAAAGTTATCATTTTATAGCTTTTTTATTCATTGTCATGTGCAGATTCCATAATAGAGCAAAACAATAACTATCATGCAAACGTTACTGCTGGATTTTTTTTATAATAATTAATAAAAAAACACCATTGCATATTTTGTTATTTATTGTAAACAAAGCTCAGTGAAACCCTAACTTAGAAGATGGAGAAATTGTGATATCTTAAAGCTCCCATGCACCATATTTTGTAAATACTTTCTGTACAAGCAGGGGAGTGACGTGTTATACGTAGAAGAAAACAATGACTTGATACAGGTCACTTTGCTTACCCATAATGACAAACACTTATTTATCTAGCAATATTGTTAGAAAGTTCACTTTAGCTTTAAGAGATTAATGGAAAAGCATAAAACTTGTGATAGACTTTCTTAATAAATTATTCTCGTACAAAGAACAAGGAACTAGAAGTGTCGTTTGTGTTAAACTTAAATTAGAAATACTGCCTCTAGCAGAATGTATTTTTTGTAATTTTTTTGAAGAGATTTTTCAATAAAGTCAGTGTTGTTAATTGTTAGCTTGTATTTAATTTTAAAGTATGAAAAAATCTGAGAATACCACCCCCCTTGTTTTCTAAAAATGGAGTTGGTATTGGAATCCCAATATATTCATGAGCAAGACCACTTGTGTGCAAGGAATAATACAAATGTGTATATTTTGTTTTTGAAGAGAAAAGACTGCATCATTGATTGAAAGATATAAGCTGTTTTCAAGAAACATGAAAATAAAATGATAATTATTGAACATGTAATAATAATATAACCAAGATACAGAATTTTGAATGATAGAAGCTTCAATAAAAATATGACCAGAAAATGCCTTTAGTTTTCTTCGAGAGAAATATTTATTTGTCAATGCATCACCCTGATGTATAATTTGTTACTTTTCACAAGAGGCTCATATAGAAAACTGATTAGATGATACTGAAGTAGTGTACTGAGGTAAAAATTAACCATTGTCCAGTTATGTAATGCAGTAATTAAAACATCATTAATTAGTGTAAGAGGTAGGTTAATTATGGACCATGCTTTCAGCACTGAAATTCATGGTAACGTGAACTGAAAATCTAGTCCTGTTCAGGTTTGATAAAAGAGTTAGCAAAAAGGATCACATATAAAGTGTAATAGACTTAAAATAAGACCCAAAACTCAAGCGCTTTTGAATAGTTGACTATTTGAAAATGCTTGAGTTTTGGGTCTAGTCCTGTTCAGGGATATACAATATTCATCTACGTAAAGAAATGCATAACATGTAAAGCAAAAATTTGGAACCAGCGTGTTTTTGTCCCACGACTGAGGTAGATTAGAATAATGGAAAACAAGGTATTCCAAAGTACAGCAATAAATATTCTTATTAGTTACTAATTCATACAGCAATACTACACATAAAAAACAATGAATTGCATGCAGAAAGGATTAAAACAAGAGCCTCAACTATCCCAAAATAATAAATTATATTTCTAAAATCATATGAAAAAAAAGAAAACTTTCAGCATAACAATTAGGATCTGTTACCATTATTAGTTTAATTTTCATATAATCACAATTTTGAATTTAATAACAATAGTTATCTTCACAGTCAGATTATGATGATTTGTTAACGAAAGAAATTAGTTTGAAACATTCAATAAAAGCATAAAGCAAATGATTGTGACTTTATTTATCATGACATCTGTAGGCCTACTATTTCTACACATTAACAGGACAATATTTTATATGCTGTTGAATGAACTACTAGTTGTAAAAACCCTAAATAGAAGTTTCCATTTTGACACAATTTGAGCAACACTATACGTGTTTTGTCTAAACACAAATACTGTACCACAGTATTCTTTTAAAAACTTTTTACCTAAATGTGCAAGATAAATTAGTCATTTAATAAAACAATGTATTATCTCAAATATTTTTAACAGTTTTTACAACTCTTATAATTATATTTAAATTCATTAAGTTCATTATCTGCATAACAGTAAGAACATCAACAAATTTTATACAGTTCAGTAAATAGGACTAATTTACAACTTACTCTAGTAGTTCTAGTCTCACATACAGTTAAACAGGGCTATAAGATAATCTTGTTTTCTGTACCATCACAAACATAATACATTACATTATCACATCCAGGTTTAATAAACTTAAACTGGTTTTTTTTAGCTACAAAACCTAATTTCAATGTAATGTCTAGTTTCCACAAAATAATATTACCACACTTATTTCAAAATATACTATACCTGCTTCAAGCTGGTCTCTAACCATCTTATTCACAACACTTGAGATTGTTAAGTCATAACTTGGCACCAGTTACAAGTTGCACTTGCTCATGACTGAACCATAGCTTGTAATTATTGTACAAGGGCTACACTATTTAATAACTGTTCTGTTAAAACCAAATTTACTTTAGCCACATTTTAAAAGCATGTTACATAAATAGTTCAGAACTATTTTCGTTATATGTATAAGCACAGCAGAGTTATTTTTAATCACAATTTTGGATTATTGATACACAGACACAATATTACAAGTATGTGTGAATTTTACTTCTACTACAAGATTAAGTCACTGGATTCTTTTTGTACCAGCAACTGCAAAACATTAAATGCCATTATGAGTAAAATCAATATATTTATAGACTTACTTTTTTGGACATTGGTGTCTTAGCATGGACCTGTATGTTAGACACTGATGTCTTATTAGCATGAACCCTTTAAGTTGAACACTGATGTCTTAGCATGCATCTGTAGGTTAGACGTTGATACCTTAGCATGGAATTGTAGGTTAGACGTTGACGTCTTAGCATGGACCCGTAGGTTAGACATTGATACCTTAGCATGGACCTGTAGGTTAGACATTGAGTTTTATCAGAACTATATATTTTTTATACCCTGCAAATTTCTGATTTTTTCATTCACATACTGCAAAGTTACTCAGCTTTTCATTTGACATCACATCTAGTTCATCAAAGCTCCATGCTAAGACATCAGTGTCTAACCTACAGGTCCATGCTAAGACATCAATGTCTAACCTACAGGTCCATGCTAAGACATCAATGTCTAACCTACAGGTCCATGCTAAGACATCAGTGTCTAACCTACAGGTCCATGCTAAGACATCAGTGTCTAACCTACAGGTCCATGCTAAGACATCAATGTCTAACCTACAGGTCCATGCTAAGACATCAATGTCTAACCTACAGGTCCATGCTAAGACGTCAATGTCTAACCTACAGATGCATGCTAAGACGTCAATGTCTAACCTACAGATGCATGCTAAGACGTCAATGTCTAACCTACAGATGCATGCTAAGACATCAATGTCTAACCTACAGGTCCATGCTAAGGTATGCAAGTTAATCTCTAAACCAGGTAGTTGTATGTTACAGTCAAGGAATATTTAGAAATACTCTACCCCCCCATGAAAAGCACCATACAACTGTTATCTTTACAAGTAGAAGTGTTTTTACGAGTATTACATTGAAAAAAATTTATAGAGCACTCCATTAAGCAGTTCTGTCTCAGATCATGAATATTTTATTAATTATACAAGTAAGAAATTCTAGCAAATCCCCAAAATTAAGAATGTATGCTAATCTTAAATTTTCTCTTAGGAAACCTTTGAGGTACAGTACAAAAGAAGTAATGGCCACTTCTAATATATATATATATATATATATTTAATGATTAATGTATCATATGAAAGAAAATATAGGAAATTCATAATGAAACAGTTGGTAAATATTTGTAATATATGGAACAAACTAATCTCAATGCAACTTCTGGTCCAACCTAAAAACAAAACCAAGATCTAGAAACAACTACCTTGGAGAGAGATGTTTCACAGTTTTGGGATCAAAAAAGTTAAAGATTGACAATAGACAGGTTATGAAAAATATAGCTACCTCCAATTTTCACAAAAAATCCAGTTCTTGAACATCCACAACTCAGCAGCTGCAGATATCTCACAGCAAAATCTTTCTAGGAATCTGGCATCATTCTGTTCACAACTCTGACATCACATTTAACCCATCGACTGCTGACTCTGCATACAGGGGTACGGTCCACCATTGGCAGTTGAATGCAAGTGTGCCACATGAGGTGTATGGCTTGTAAAAATTCTGCATGCATTTAGAGTAGCTGCAGCCAATGGGTTAAATAATATTCTTGAAAAGGGTCCATACTTAAGACTTGGGATTCTACAGTCTACAAGTTTACAAATAATGTTCACTACTATAAGGGTTAGAGGAACTAAGTCTGTTATCAAAACAAGGAGAACAGTTTATTGAAGCCTAGAAAAGTTATACTACATATTTATACCTCAATCACATTCTCATATAAGAAAGAACATTTCCAAGTTGTCTTTAGATGGTTGAAACTAATCATCAAATCTAGTACAATATTTGTATTAATAATGTGCAGAAAAAATTTGTTTCTTCTTGGTATATCAATTTATATGTTGAAAAACCCTGGGAAGGGGCCCTGAAATTGTAACTGGAAGTTCTAAGTGAGAGGACAATAATGGGGAAGAAACAAAAAACTTGCTCACATGTGTTAATGTGTACATTTGTCTCTCAGGTTATGAAGCTGCATCTGACACACCCTTGTATGAAACCTTACAACAATTGTCTTGCAATTACAATCAAAGTAACTGCATATGCAACTTTTAATTACTATAAATTGTTTCCTTTGCTGATTAAAAGACACAAGGCTGCCAATTAAAAGCTTACATTTCACAGTTTATTTTACAACCCTAAAAATTAGAGAGATCCTGTAAATTAATCTACGTTCTTGGACAATAGATTTTCTGTATAATAGATCAGTCTTTAGATGCTTTGTTTAAAATATTTATAAGGAAACAAAGCATTAAGTTTTATTATTTGTTTTACACAATATTTGCTAGTCAACAGTGCACTCCACACCTTTATAAGCTACAGATAACAACTAAAAACAACTTTGAACTCTGTTCTAAAAAACTAAAGGGAGGAAAATTCTTACATCATTTGCCTTCATCATGGGGAAACCTGAATACTGACCCAACCAAGTTATGTTTTTAAACAATACTTAAAACACTGTGGAACTATTTTTATTGGTAAATCTTCTAACAACTATTTACCACCAAACAATATAGCAGTGAAGACTGTTCTTTTACACTGGTATATAATCAGAAGCTGAGGTAGTTTGTGAGGTAAATGATTCGCTGGGAAATACATCTAATGACATTAGAGGGTTTTGAGATTGAATAAATATAGAACAGTTATTTAATATTTTGTAAAGACAAGTTATTATGAATAAATTTCGTAATATACTTTGCTTTTTCTTAAAAAACTAATAAGCCAGTGTTTATTAACCTGCTTTAGTGGCTATATTTTAAATTGCCACAAGAACTGTTTCAGCATAATGTGCTTGACAAACCTGAATTGTTCAGTTTTTGTTTTAAAAACTGTTTGGTATGGGACTATAAACTACCTTCTTTGCTGTGGCTGATCTAATGATTATTTTTCAATGTCTCTTGACTTTTATGTCATGTAAAGAAGTAAGACAGATTGCAAATTAAACTATTACCTTCTACTTTTGTACTTTATTTTTCACACCACACCAAAAACGTTAATGTAACTTAGTTTACACAAAAACAACAAAATGATCCAAAAGTTACCGAACCCCAGCTTCACCAAAATATGGTTTCATCCTCACAAAATTACACTGTTGCTACTGCTTTGGTATTGTACAATTATTTATTTGAAACAATGATTATTATTTTCTAACTGATTTAATGTCTCAATTAATCCTGCCCTAAATGCCTTCAGTAACTAAGCGATCGTAGTTAAACAAAAAAACAAAGCTTAAGTTGTTGAAGTGGATAATCACCCAGGTCTGTATAACCTACATCTTTGTGTTACCAAGCACTACTAATTTACATTTCCAGTGACACTTGAATAAAAAGGTTCACTACGTTTTCCTGGTGTAACTCGTAGGTAGAAAGTGTTATACTTTTGGAGAAAAGCTATTATTTTTGTGTGTAAAGGGTGGACGGAACTATAAAATGGTGAAAACTTTGATAAAGTATGAAATATCTAATGTCAGTGTTAAATCGCACGTGTTTTAGTAAACTAAGAAATGTCAGTTGTTACAAAAGACAATTTAAGTATGTCTGGTTTTATTGCTTACTGTAGGTTGTATAGCAGGAAGACAAACTTCCACCAAATCAATGGACATATATAACATGCTAACAGTTTTTTTTAATTCTGATATACTTTGCCAAACTCAAGTAAACTACATTAATTATTTTCCTGTTTCTAACGTATCATACTTCTCATGTACCAAAACATTATTTACAAAGCAATCTGAGTAAAACATTAAAATCTCATTATACGTAATAATAGACTGAAAGTTGGAAATTTTGCTTTGTGGTAAAAATTTATAACTAACCTATACTTCAAATAAAACTCCTGGAAATTAAAAACAATATATATATATATATATA